ATCGATTATTGATTTAAAACGTTGAACCTGTAATGACGACTTTTACAAGAGATTTAAGACACTACCTACACATCTATACTTAGTAATCGTGTACAACTATCCATGGCGCGCAATGACCATTCTTTCGCGCCGTGTTTATACCCTTTTTAGAAGAATGATCGAATGAAATATCTCGAACTGTACAAAACAAAGCGTCATATGAAATAAGATTCTTCTAAATATGTGGCGACTGCCGGCATTAAATTGTTTAACGATTCTTCCTTTTGTTAAACAACTCGTAGGTAACACAGACTGGCCAACCAATACTGTTTTGCCACTTTATATGGAGGTATTTGCATATCTTTTCTTTCAGACAACAATCGTCCAACATGCGACAATAAAATTTAACACAATAATAACAAGTAAACTTTATAAAGGTATCTGTCAACATTGAAGCAATCAGAATAAACGTATATACGATCGATCCTTTTTCTCGTTGGACGTTTTTTTAATGGAAATTTTTGTATCAATCGTAATCACAATTTAATGTTTCGAATAATTTAATTTTATCCTATTGCATTATACATCCTCTAACTATTGAACACATACGAACCAGTACACATAGCCCCATAACATTAATATTTATAAAATAGTAATAATATATAGATGCATATTAATTGCTAAAGGAAATATAGTACTTATATTAGATTGGTTTATCTCTATTAGCTTTTAACACATTATCGTTTAATTTTCTTACCGCTGATGCAAGGAGAGTTGTTTTTTTTCTTTTTTTTTCAAATGTTCCAAGTGATAACATTGGAAAATTGATATTATGACATTTGATTCTGATAGAAATGCACATTTCAACATCGACATCGTCATTTATCATTGCGAATAAAACGCATCCATCTTCCTTGCCTTGATGAATCTTTACATCACCGAGTTATTTTCCCTGCACAAATAAATTTTATATTTTACACACTATTAACATATCGTGGCAATTTTTACGTACTGGTAGCTGATGAATATTTATATCTCCTTCTCTCTTACTTTTCTCTTTTTTTCTCTCACTCATAACTCCATCACAGCTAGCCTTATACATTATCTGTTCTACTAAGGAATGTGTTTACTGAGAAAAACTGTAACCTAATCTAATTATTTCTTGCTACCTACAAGTTGTTTATTTGTATAGAGATTTATGAATAAAATTTATTTAAATATTCTCATTTTTCTTATTTTCATTTTTTTTTTTTTTACTTTAATGTGCATATTACAAGTTTAATAGAATATAAATTCTAAATCGAAAAAAGATAATTTGACTTTTTGATTTTGATTACAGCAAAGAAAATAAAAAAATCTTGATTACTATTTTCTGATCGATAACATTAGAAACGTTACAATTTTAAGAACATAAGATAAAAAATATTTGTCTTCTCATAAAAAGGAGAAAAATTAAAAAAAAAAAAAAAAAAAAAAAAAAAAAAAAAAAAAAAAAAAAAAAAAAAAAAAAA